CAATCCGGCTTCGTATGTAATACTGTTTCAATATCTGGGACGGATCTTCTAATGATGCCCTTTCTCTTTTAGACAAAGTGCAAAAATGGATTGTAAACATAGTTGGACCTGCTTTTGCAGCCAACCTCCAACCATTATCATATTGTGGTAATGTTGTTTCTCTTTCTCTTTTTTATAAATTCTATAATGGGCACTGCTCTAAAGAGCTTGTATCTCTGGTGCCATCTACTAAATTCATTTTCGTGTTACTCGTCATTCAATTAAGACTCATCCTCAGTTCTTTGGAATTTTTGTCTTTCATCTTGCTTTCCTAATTCATATAATTTGCATAATTAACATTGCTTATTCATAAAAAATTTTAAGTCATCTGTCAATCGTTATCCTGCTCTACAATTTTCATCTTTTCTCTTCCAGTAACTTCCAACTCTAATAGTGGTTGCTCGCAGCCTTGTTGGAAACAAAGATAAACAATAAACAGTAAATGCTTTATCCAAATAAGCTAAACGGGTATATATCTATAAACAAATAAACGTAATTGTACAATAAAAAAAGATATATATAAAAGTATACCCCTGCTTAACTTATTAATAATAACTTAGTTTCTGATCATCAGTTCTACTGATGTTTAGTTAACAGTAATAACCGGTAGATTTTATACTGCATTAAATAAATGTGGAGAGGTTGAGGCTTTTGAATTCAATATTTCTACAGTTTTTAATGAAGTTTGGCATGCTAGTCTTCTTTATAAACTCTTTTATTATAGTGTATCAAGTAACATCCTTCCGACTATTGAGTCCTTCCTTACCAATCATAGTGTAAAAGTTGTCCCAGGCGGATAGTACTCTTTTATATCCTGTAACTTATAAAAATACACAAATATATATATATATATATATATATATATATATATATATATATATATATATATATATATATATATATATATATATATATATATATATATTTATATGTATGTATGTATATCCGGCCAACATCAAAGAAAAAGAAAGTATAGAAACGGGTTAAAACCTGAGAAAATATTTGAATTCTAGTTAGAAAAATTTTGACTAACTTGATTTTTGATTGACCTGATTTAGGCCAGCCAACTGGGAATTCAACCGGTGCTCCCTGGAATATAATATATATATATATATATATATATATATATATATATATATATATATATATATATATATATATATATATATATATATATATATATATATACACATATATATATATACATATATATATATATATATATATATATATATATATATATATATATATATATATATATATATATATATAATATATATATATATATATATATATATATATATATATACACGCAAACATTTATATAACTTTTCAAAAAGTTTGAATATAGTGTGAATTGAATTTTTTTTTTTAAACTGTTTCTTGGATTTTAAAACATAAAGACTTTAAAGACTTTATCCATGTATCACATACCCTAATTGTAGTTTAGTCAAGATAAAGTTTTGTCAAAATATATTCTTACTTGTATAATTTAAATTGACAAAATAAAGTAATAACAAATAATTAATATTTGTGTATTTTTCTACCTAATATACAGTCATGTTCTTCATACAGTCATGTTCTTCTTATCATGCTTGTATAAGCAATTATTGTTAACACAGAATAAAATAGTAACAATCATTGGTTATAAAAAGTTTAGTTTTTATCTCAATCATACCAAGTCATTTGTATGCACTGAAACCATTAAATATTTAATATCTTTGTAAAAATCTTTATTAACTGTAGCTTTATCTATTTATCTATCATATATCTGTATCAATCTATTTATCATATCATATATTTATATGTTTATCATAATAAGTGTTTCTCATATTTCTTTTGTTAGATTTAATAAATAATACAAAAATATTTTAGTGTTGTTTTTTTGCTTTAGATCCCTTCAGCAGTTGAGCAATGGATTCCTTCTTTTTTTATATAAAGACTTTCACGAAACCTAATTACAAGGTGCCATGTTTTTTGAAGCAAAAAACATGGCACCTTAAAAAAAAAAAGCTATTTTTCCCCCCCACCTATCTCTCTGGTCATTTATTTTGCTACACCCTTCCCCTACCCCCTCCCACACACACACACCCACATAAACACGCACATAAACCGATATCTCTTTCTAAACACCCCTCCCTCCACCATCCTCCGCCGCCACAACACCTGCGTGTCCCGGTTTACCACTTTTTTTTTAAGTTGATTAAGGTGCCCCAAGAAGTCCTGACGGTCTTATCACAGAGCACCGCGGAAGAGCATTTAATAGGAAGTTTACGCCTCCTTCCCAACCAATGTCGCAAAACTTGCCCAGAGGTGGGGTCTGAACCAGAGATCTTACGTTTCTGAGGCAAGTTCGCTACCCCATTTATATATATATATATATATATATATATATATATAATATATATATATATATATATATATATATATATATATATATATATATATATATATATATATATATATATATTTTTTTTTTTTTTTTTTTTTTTTTTTTTTTTTTTTTACAACAATTATTATATATTTCAAGAACAAATATTTACATGACTCCAGTTTATATAAATGTCCACCACACATATTTACAATATCTAAAGAGCGTTAACAATGCTGTTTCACGCTTGGTGTATTACAGTGGGTTAGAAATGTTAAGAGAAGAATAAAAAAAAAAATATATATAAAAAAAAATAAGAAGTAAAAAATCGTGGTTTATAATATTAACCCATGCATTTAAAAAATATACGCAAGTCCGTCGCACCACAGGGCTACTAGGGACTTGCTTGTGGTTATCGTTGAAAAAATATATTAATATATCATAATAATGCTATGTTGTTGTAAGGAAACTCGCAGAAGACTAGGAGAAGTCTTTTCATCGAGAACCTTTAAAATGCAAAATGAACAAAAAATTTAAAGAGCAATTTCACAAAACACACATTAACTTTGAGGTCCACTCTTCAGTAATATTTTACTATGTATAGTTGCTACTATATTTATTATTATTATTATTATTATTTTTATTTTATTTATTTTTTAAAATTTAAATTATTCTTGTTACATTTATTATATTCATTTTCTTTTACATTTAATACATATCGATAAAATTGGTTTTGTTAATTATGAGATCTTTTAATTTTTTTTTAAGGATAGTAAGATTATCTAATTTAGTAAGTTCTATATTTTGAGATATTATTTTGTTGTATAAGTAGGGGCCACGGTATGCAATTGAAAATCTTGAAAATTTTGTTTTTTTAATAGGCAGGGTGAAATTTCCTGTTCCTCTTGTGCTGTATCTGTTGGCGTAGGTTTGAAAAAAGTTATTGGTAAAATGAGATGGGACAAGCCCGAGCATATATTTGAGCATAAATAAAATATTTTGGTAGATGTTAATTTGATAGACATTTAACGCATTCAAGTTTTTAAGTAAAGGATCGGCATGAGTGAATTTATTTTTATTATAAATCAATCTTGATGCGTGTTTCTGGTGTACATATAGAGAATTTAGTTTAGATTTATTTGTACTTCCCCAGGCAATATTAGCATATGTTAAATAACTTTGTATATAAGAAAAGTAGAGACTTTTAAGATTTTTCTGGGAAAGTAAAGGTTTGACTTTGTAGAGTATGCCGATACTTTTTGATATTTTTGTATTTATTGTATTTATATGGGCTTTCCAAGAAATCGTTTCGTCAATAATTATCCCAAGAAATTTAACGGTTTTAGTTCTTTCGATATTTATGTTATCAATTTTTAATAATGGTAGCATTCTTGGTATATTATTTTTTTGATGGTTGGAATGAAACAAGATGTATTTTGTTTTTTCTGTATTTAAAGATAATTTATTTACTTTAAACCAGGTGTTTAGATTCTCAAGGTCATCGTTCACAGATTCAAAGAGATTTTCAATTGATGCTGATGAATAAAACAAATTTGTGTCATCAGCAAACATTACAGCATCAAGTTTTTTTAGGGATTGTGGAAGATCGTTAATATAAATTAAAAATAAAAGAGGGCCAAGAATGGAACCTTGGGGAACTCCGCATTTAATTTCTAGTAAATTTGAATATTTATTATCGTTCGAAATAACGCATTGTTGTCTGTTGCATAAATAACTTTTAAACCAATCTAGGGTAGTATTTTTTATTCCGTATTTTTCCATTTTTTTAAGTAGGATATCATGATTAATTGTGTCAAATGCTTTGGATAGGTCTATAAAAGTTCCTAATACAAATTGCTTTTTATTAAAAGAATCACTTATGCTATTAACTATATCTAAAACTGCATGTTCTGTCGAGTGTTGTGATTGAAAACCGAATTGTTTTTTATCTAAGAGTTTGTTTTGAAATAGATATTCATATAGTCTATTGTAGATTATTCGTTCAAGTATTTTAGAAAAAATTGGAAGAATAGAAATTGGTCTGTAATTATTTATTTGAAATGTTTCACCGGTTTTAAAAATAGGTATAATTTTAGCTACTTTTAATTTATCTGGTACAGTTCCAGTTTTAATTGATGATTTGAATATTTCAAAAATAGGTTTGCGTATCTGCGAAGAGACATTAGCAACAATATTACTGCTAATGTCATCTACACCAGGAGACTTGTTTATTTTAATAGAGTTTATTGCATTTTCGAATTCATCAATTTTTAGTTCTTTAAA